GGAACGTAAAAGTTTGATTCAAGTAGAGAAAGAGAGCACCGAACGACGGAAAGAAAGTCTGGAACATCGGCAGAAGCTCTGAAGCGGGAATTAACAGATTTGGTGTTGCCATTGAAAGACTTGGAGAAGAGTTGAAAGACTTGGAGAAGAGTGACGATGAAGATGACAACCACAAAGACATCGTTTACTGAATAATACTCTTCTTAGTCTCTGTTTGTTTTCTATGAGGTCACCTTGAATGGCCGTTGTTTGGTTTTCAAATAGCCCAAAACGCGACCGTCAAGAAATTGGGGGACATTAATATTACTCGGTCTCACAAAAACCGGCGATTATTATCCAAATCACCTCTCCTCGTTGAAGACCTCGTCGAGTTTGTTTCTTGTTTTATGGGTGTTCTTGTATAATCTTTATGAGCGATATTAAGTAAAAATCTTATCTTTTTGATTAAAGATCTTTTCATCGGTTTAATTTAGACTAGAAAGTGCGATTTATGGGAAGTTTATATGTTCATTAGATCTCTACTTATGTTTCTTTCTTGTTTTATGGTGTTTCTATAATCTTTATGAGTGATATTAAGTAAAATTTTTATCTTTCTGATCTTAAGGGTATTGTACTTTGAATCAAAATTCTGCAAAATTTTCACATTTCTGCAATAGACAAAGGTTAAATAGATCACCTCCCCTTAGTGAAAAATGGTCATAGTTGTTTCTCTATTATTGTTCATTAATTGATCCTATTTTAGGAGCTAAAAAGACTTAAACTTGAATTATGAGGCATAATGATTCTGGTATGGTAACAAGAACCAAAAGAGGGGTTCAATAATTGAAAAGGTTGGGAATGAGATGACCCATTTAAAGCAGATAAAGGAATGAGAAGTGAAGGCTTCTTTCTCTTCAAAAGGTTGGTGAGAATGAAAGAATTTGGAGGGTCAACTTTGTTATTAATAAATGATCTTGATTTTATCGTGAATTGTTGTTTTATGGCAGCAAACAAGGGTTATCATCTCGAATGACCACCTAATAAACACCAAGTTGTGGTATCGTAGTCTCTTAAGTCTATTTACAAAATGCAAAAGCCAAAGTTGCAGGATGCAACAGCAAGGAAAAATGTTATCGAGTATTTTGTAAGAAAATTTAACCCAATAAGAAAATTCAACTAAATTTAAATTCAAATTTTTGTAATGAGTTCTGAGT